CGGTACACGTCCCGCAGGGTCTCCCGGTATTCATCGGCTGACACATTGTCAGTTCCGACCAACCGGGCTTCACCTTCGAGAACCAGGAAGTTGCGCCAATCGCCCGTACCCACCAGGATCGTGCAGCGCGAGTTACGCGCAAGATTTCTGAGCTTCGCCCGATCTGCGGTAGTCGTAAACGCCACTCCGTCTCCGTACAACCCGCACGTTACGATACTCATCTGGCCGGCGCCATTTCGGCGGAAAGTAGTCAAGGCGGCGTCGTGGTTAGCCGACAAAAATTGCCGCTGGGCTTCGGTTAGCATCGGACACTCCTTGGTTTGCGGACAGGTGTTCCCGGGCAGGCCGTTACTCAGTAATCATGTGGCAGAGATCAACTGAGCCAGAATTGCGACCCCTCGGCGGTTTTGAGCACTTCGATCCTGACGGGGAATAGATCTTTCAGTTCGTCAAGATGAGTGATGACGATGATCTTTTCGAAATCTTCCTGGATCGACGCGATGGCATCCACGATACGCTCACGGCCGGCGGCGTCCTGGGTACCGAAACCTTCGTCGATGAAGAGCGTGGGCAGGGGACAGCCCCATGCGCTGGGCCAGAACTTTGGACAGAGCGATGCGGAGCGCCAGGTTGATGCGGAACGCCTCACCACCGCTGAAAAGATCATAACTCCGCAAACCCAGTTCGTCACTGACCAGGATATCCAGGGTTTCAGCAACGTTGCCGGCCTGGCGCACCCGCTGAGTTTCCAACTTGACGGCCAGTCGGCCATCCGTCATCCGACCCAGAAGCAGATTGGCTTCAGTTTCAATTCGAGGAACCGCGGCATCAATGAGCATGGCCGGGACACCGCTCCGTCCGAAGGCGTTGATTAGGTCGGAATAGATACCCTGCTCAGTATCCGAGGACGTTCGACGATGTTCCAACACCTCGATCTCTTCGAGATAGAAACCCGGCGTTCCGCGTCCCCGTGCAACCTCCCCTGTCGAGCGAGGAGAGCGTCCCGCTCGGCAAAGAGGCCGGCAACCGCTTTATCGGCGTCGGATGCTTCCCGCTCCCGGGCCGGCAGGTCGACGACCGCGCTCCTCGCTTCCTCCAGCGTTGCTGCAACGCTTTTCAGCTCCGCGCGCAAACGATCCAGTCGATCCTTGGTTTGCACTAAAACCGTTTCGTCCTCGTGCCGGCGATCACGGGCGTCCTGGAGTTTTCGTAACTCCGAATCCCAATGTTGGAAAGACCGGACCCTCTCGGTAGCGTCCTGTAAGGACTGTTCACCGTAACTCAGCCCAACGATCGCAAGGTCCAACTGGGTCACAGCATCGCGTTCGTCACGGGCGAAATCATCATCAAACAACCTTTGTTGCAAGCGATCCAAGCGAGGAAGCGACGCTGACAATTGTGTTGCAGCCTCGTCGGATTGCCGTCGCTCCTGCTCGAGCCGGCCACGTCGTTGCTGGATCTGTTGCTGTCGCTGGGAGAGGGATGCGCTGCGGTGAGAAATTCCGGACTCCAGGTCTTCCAGGCGCCCGGACAAGTCAAGCAAGGATCCCTTGATCTCATCGTGACGCGTGAGTTTGGCTTGGATCTCCGTGTCGTACCACGCCGAAATATCGCCGCAAGCGTCCGCGCTGAGCGGCGTGCGGCAAAGCGGGCACAACGCGTCCGCCGACTGCATGTCCATCTGTTTGGCGCGCAGGTCTTTGCCCTCTCCGATGCAACGGTCCAGATCCGCGCGCGCCAGGGCGATCTCGCGCTGCAGGTCAGCGGACTGAGTCATCTCCGCCTCCAGCACGGTCTGGTCTGCGGCGAGCGCCGATTCTCCCGCTGCCAGCGCCAGGAATTCCTCGTCGACGCTGCTGGAACGGTCAACGGCCGGCCGCAGAACATCGTTGATTTGCTTTTGCAGCTGAGTCGCTTCCGCGCTAAGCATCGCCGCCGCGCGGTCAATTGCAGCCTGCAATTCGCTCCGACGTTCGCGCAGTCCGTCGTATTCGGTCCGGGCTGCTTGCAGGCGACCCATATCGGCTTGGGCCACTTCCAAATTCCGCGCGCCAGCACAGATCTCGGCTGAACGATCCTCCAATGCATGGCTGTCCGCGATGCGTTTGGAGACGGCAGCGACGGCAGTTTCGGCGTGTTTGATATCGGCACGCAGGTTATCGTTACGACTGACAGCGGCAGCCGCTTCTCGCTGTGTTTGGCGCAATGCAGCGACTGCGTCGCGCAACCGTTCCGATTCGGCCGAAGTTAGTTCGATTTCTTCTGCAAGCCGACGTAAGCGCAAAGCTATTACGCCGAGCTCTTCGGTCGGGTCTTGAACGGCTTCTAGAAGGGTGCGGTTCTGGGCCAGGGCTCCCTCGGTACGCACCACTTCGGATCGCCAGTTGTCTCTTCGGGCGCCGGCCGACGCTTGCAGGCTTTCGTAGAGGCTCAGGTCCAGGACGGACGACAGGACCGCTTTGCGCTCTGCCGGGGTCTTGCGCGTGAATTCATCTGATCGACCCTGCAGCAGGAACGCGGTATTCACGAACGTGTTGTAGTCCATCCCGACGAGGTTCTGGATTTTCCAGTTGGTCTCCCGAACTGAATTGCCGCTGATGGACCGGGCCTGTTCGGCGGCATCCAGTATGAACAGGTCCACCTCGGTGCGGCCCTGGCCCGCCCGCCGACGCCGGCGAATCGCGCGATGCGCCTGCCCCTGGGCCAAAAAGTCCAACTCGACCCGGCACTCCGATTCGCCATACGCGATCAGATCGCTGTGGTTCTGAGTACCGGTGCGGGCGTTTCCCCACAGACACCAGGTCATGGCGTCCAGCAGGGCAGACTTTCCGTGGCCGTTGGCTCCGCACAAACAGGCCACGTGTATCCCCCGTAAGTCCAACGGCGCCACATCGTCTCGGTAGCAAAGGAAGTTGCGAACCGAAAGCCTCAGCGGGATCATCGTGTTTCGGATTGTATCACCGCGTAGTTGACCGGAGCGCGACGGCGTTGCCATCGGCCGCGCTAATAGTCTGGGGACAGAGAGCGGATTCCCAGTGATACAATTTTCGTCGAGGAATTCAACGTACGATGTCTGTAACCAGCGCCAAATTCGCCAAAGAAACCGGTCCGGTCATCGTTGTTGAGGATTTGCGAAAGCGATACGGCGACATTCAGGCGGTTGACGGCGTTTCGTTCGAAGTGGAGCGCGGCGAGGTATTCGCGCTGCTGGGCCCGAATGGGTCGGGAAAGACCACGACCATAGAAATTATTGAAGGAATGCGCTCCGCAGACAGCGGGCGCGCAACCGTCGCCGGGATCGACGTGAGTAAAAATCCCAAAGCGGTAAAGCAACTGGTCGGCGTACAATTGCAGAGCAGCGCCTTCTTTGAGCACCTGAAACTGGCCGAGCTCCTCAAAATGCTGGGCAGCATTTACCGCGTCAAGGTCGATCCGGTCCCGCTCCTCGAAGCGGTGGATCTGGCGGAACGAAAATCGGCGTCCTTTCGCACGCTCTCCGGAGGGCAGAAACAACGGTTCGCGATTGCTGCCTCGTTGGTCAACAACCCGGACGTTGTGTTCCTCGACGAACCGACGACCGGACTGGATCCTCAGGCACGAAGGTTGATCTGGGACTTGGCCAAAACTTGGAAACAGGAAGGGCGGACCGTGGTGCTGACCACGCACTACATGGAAGAAGCCGAGGAGTTGTGTGACCGAGTCGCGGTGATGGATAACGGCAAGATCATCGTCTCGGCATCGCCCGTGCAGTTGATTGACCAACTGATCTCGCGAGGTTTCCATCGCGAGCAGGAAGTGCGACTGGCTACGCTGGAGGACGTATTTCTCGACCTGACCGGCCGGTCGCTGCGGGAGTTTTAGGATGTTCGCGAAGCCGGCTGTTTATCTCACCTGGTGGTCGATCAAGATGTGGTCCCGGGACCGCGCCGCGATGTTCTGGACGTTCTTTTTGCCGCTGGTCATCATGGTGATCTTCGGGCTGTTGAACTTCGGAGAGCTCGGTAAGGTCGACCTGGGTATAGTCGATCTCGCCGACAACGAGGCCTCGTCACAATTCATTGACGGACTGTCCGAGATCGACGCCCTGAGAATCGAGACCGGTTCCGCCGAGGATGAGCGCGCTGCGCTGGCAGACGGAAAGCGGGATCTGGTGATCCTGTTGCCGGTGGATCTGGCTGACGTTCACAGCGAAAATCAGATCGTCGCCTTGTACCACGGGAGCCGGCAAACCGAAGCGCGGCTGGGGTTGACGGTCACGCAATCCGCCGTAGACGAACTGAACTTCGCCATCACCGGCGCTGAACGGGTCATTACTCTGACCGAAGAATCGGTGGAGGCGCGCGACCTGGGATACATCGATTTCCTGATGCCCGGGGTGATCGGCATGGCCATCATGCAGTTAGGGTTGTTCAGCGTGGCGTTCAGTTTCGTGACGATGAAACGGGAAGGAGTGCTGAGAAGGTTGCTGGCGACGCCCCTGGATCCCGCATCGCTGCTGGTGGCCCAGGTGATTACCAGGCTGATAGTCGTGGTGATCCAGACCATGATCCTGGCTGCGGTGGCGGTTTTCCTGTTCAGCGCGGAATTCGCCGGGAATTTTTTCGCCGTGCTGCTGGCGGCTGCCATGGGTGGGGCGGTGTTCCTGGCGATGGGGTTCGCGGTGTCCGGGTGGGCACGCACGGAGCAACAGGCGGCGCCGCTGGCCAACATCGTATCGCTCCCCATGATGTTCCTTTCCGGGGTGTTCTTTTCCCGCGACGTTCTTCCCGACATCCTGCAGCGGATCACCGACTTCTTACCCTTGACCTACTTGGTGGAGGCTATCCGGGGCATGACGGTGGAAGGGGACACGGTGTTGATGCAATGGCCCAACTTTCTGGGATTAGCCGTCTGGCTTGTGGTAGCGTTTGTCATAGCCAACCGGACGTTCCGCTGGGAGTGATCCACTCAGTCGGTGGAACTCGGTAGAACATTGAGCGACGAAACGGGAGAGTACCGGCATGTTTGACAATTTAACCGACCGATTGACCGGGATTTTCAGCCGTTTGCAGGGCAAAGGCCGTCTCACCGAAAAGGACATCGACGACGCCCTGGGGCAGGTGCGCCGGTCATTGCTGGAAGCCGACGTGAACTTCCGGGTCGCTCGGGAGTTTGTGGCAACGGTCAAAGAACGGGCGTTGAGTGGCGAAGTCCTGGAAAGCCTGTCACCTGGTCAACAGGTGGTCAAGATCGTGCACGAGGAGCTGACCGATGTGTTGAGCGCGGGCGACCACCGCCTCACCCCGGCCAGCCAGTTGCCCTCCGTGCTGATGCTGGTCGGATTGCAGGGATCCGGCAAAACCACAACGGCTGCCAAGTTGGCGCTACACATGAAACGCCAGCAACATAGCGCAATGCTGATCGCGGCCGACCTGCGACGGCCGGCAGCCATCGCGCAACTCCAAACTCTGGGCAATCAGTTGGACATTCCCGTGTACTCGGAAGATCCGGGATCGTCAACGCCGGCCCAGGTGGCGACGGCCGGGGTCCGACGGGCCGCCGAGTTGGCGCTGACATGGGCCATCGTTGATACCGGCGGGCGTTTGCACATCGACGACGAGTTGATGGCTGAACTGGAAGAAGTGAAGCGCGCGGTTTCTCCGCACCAAACTATCCTGGTTGTTGATTCCATGACCGGACAGGATGCGGTGAACGCAGCCGAAGAGTTTCACCGGCGCGTGGGATTGGACGGCCTGGTCCTTTCCAAGATGGACGGCGACGCTCGAGGTGGGGCGGCGCTTTCCATAACCAGGGTCACCGGCGTGCCAATCAAGTTCGTCGGCACCGGCGAGCGGAACGACGCGCTGGAGCAATTCCACCCGGACCGGATGGCTTCCCGCATCCTGGCCATGGGCGACGTGCTGACCCTGATTGAACGCGCACAGGAAGCGGTCGACGAAGAGAAGGCCCGCGAACTTGAACGCAAGATGCGGACCGCCTCGTTCACGTTGGACGATTTCCTGGACCAGATCCAGGGAGTGCAAAAAATGGGCGGACTGGCATCGGTCATGGAAATGATGCCCGGATTGGGCCGGCAATCCAAGAAGATGCAGGGGCAGTTGGACGAGTCGGAGCTGAAGAAAACCGAAGCCATCATCCGGTCAATGACGATGGAAGAACGGGACAAACCGGACATAATCAAGGGCAGTCGGCGTCGCCGGATCGCGCTGGGCAGCGGGACCAACCCGGCGGACGTGAACCGGGTTCTCAACCAGTTCAAGCAAACGCAACGTCTGATGCGGCAGTTTTCCAATAACCCCAAGGGGTTGATGCGAATGCTGCGCTAGCCACGTCCCCTCAGGAACTTGCGACGCGGCCGGTGCGGAGAGCCACGAATAAGTACGAGGTCGCGTAGGACCGCCACGGGGACCAGCGTACCGAGAACGTGAGCAGTTGCTTGTCGTCGATCTCCGCTCCGTCGAAGTACAGATTGCTGACGGTGCGGCGCAATGCCAGGTCGCCGATGGGAAACCCGTCGGGCCTGGCCAGAGCACGGACCAAGACCCACTGCGCGGTCCATTGCCCCACCCCTCGCAGAGCCACCATGCGCTTCACGACCTCCTCGTCCTCAAGCTCGTGCATGCCCTCAAAACCGTCGCCGGATTCCAGAGCTGCGCGTGCGATACCCTGAATGTACTCAGCTTTGCGGAAGCTGAGCTTGAGTTGGCGTAGATCATCAACTTCGGCGGTGGCCAGGGATTCGGCGCGCGGGAAGGCGTACCACTCTCGACCGCTAACCGTTCCGCGAACGCCGTAGGTTTCAACCAGCAGGTTGCGAATGATCCGGGCAACGTTCGTCGCGATCTGTTGCCCCATGACGGCCTGAACCAGCGCCTCGTAAACCGAGGCGGTTCGCGTGTTGTGATAACCGTAGAAATCCTTGACGACGTCCGCCAGTACCGTGTCCTCGGGCACCGAATCGTAAAACGGCCGCAAGTCCTGGTCGCAGCCCAAAAGCCAGGTGATTTGTTTCGCGGCACGGTCGCCATCGGAGTCAGTCAGGTCCTCCCCGGTTAGCGTGCATGACAACTCCGGCTGGTCCACGGTACCGACTGAGCACACGGAGGCGAGGGCGACTTTGTCGCCGAAATCCAGGAGCCGGACGTAGGAACCATCGACGTAGTCTTCGGTTTTGAACTGTTGGTCGCGGGAATAATTGGGCTGACCGGCGGTCAGTTCGAAGTCGTAGGGCGGCACCGGGCGAACGGTTGTGACCAGGGTGGTTTCCATCAGATTTGCACCTCTCCAAGGCTGGAATATTGGGCCCCTCGGGGTGAGAGTACACTTCGGTACAGTCGAACGGTATCGGGTCGCCAACCGGGAATAACCGGCAGCCGGGTGGCTGCGACGGTATCGAGTATGGCCTGGCGCTGCCTTGCGTTGACACGGTCCCGCACCCGGCCCAGGGTGAGGTGGGGTCGGAACGGGCGGCTGTCCATCGACCAGCCGAGGCCGTGGACCGCGCGCTCCGCTCGCCGATTCAGATCGTCCAGGCTTTCAGGTCCGCCCGATACTCCAGTCCAGATCACGCGAGGGTTCCCGCCGGCCGGAAAGGTTCCCAGATCGGACAGGGAGAGCGTGGGGCAACTGGCGCCGGCGAAGTTCTCGGCAACGGCGTCCAGGATTGCAGGCACGATCCGCGAGTCGGTAGCCCCCAGGAATTTCAAGGTCAAATGAACGCCTGTCGGAGATACCCAACGCACGTCGGACGGCAATGCCCGGCTCAATTCCGCGATCGTGTCGGACAATTGCCGGACCCACTCATCGGGCAACGGCAGCGCGATGAACGTACGAAGCGTTTCCGAACGAGAGGTCACGAAGCCAACTCCACGCGCCACCGATTGAGCTCCACGTACCAGAACACCAGATCGTCCAGCGAATACCTGGCGTTGGCCGGGCTGGGGTTGGGAAGCACGAATACACGGCTGGCTCCGATGAACAGGTCCTGCCGCCCGAGTTCGATGTTGCCCGCGTCCTTGATCCCCTCGCCGTGGCGGAGGTAAGCGCGGTAGGCGGTAAGGCCATGGAAACAGGCGATGCGGGGCGCGTGGCGCAGCAGTTTTGCGCGAAGAACGGGAGCGTCCCGCCGGTAGTCCGCGGAAGAAAGGCCGGACGCCTGGCGTGTTGGACGCTTGACCACGTCGGTGAAACCAATCCCGCGATCCAACAAAGCAGAGTCGTCCTCCGGGCCCACCGGTCGTCCGATGAGATCGGCGGCCGACAAGGCTGACCAGAACCGATTGCGGGGGTTGGCGAAATAGTGGCCGTCCTGGACCGAACGGACCGACGGGTTGAGACCGATGAGGACTATGTCCAAACCAGGCCTCAGATAGTCAGGGAGGGTGTCCGTGGGTTTTTCGCCGATACTCAGCAACAACGCAGCATTGGTACCCATGATGGCGGCGGTTTGATCTTGGGGCAGATTGGCAGATTGGACATCGTCGATCACACGACGGTGGCGCAGCAGCGGGTAATCGGTCCCGAAAAGTATTCGGTCGGGTCCGGCCGTCATGACGGCGGCAGCGATAGCGGCCGGGCGGTAGAGATAAGGAAGCGCCGCAGTGTCATACCAAACATTTTCCAGAACGGCGGCGACCTCGGGCATTGAGGCATAGAACGGGAGGCCGCCGCCCATGTGGGCGAATACCATCTGGTTTTCGGGGAAGTTTGCCGCGAGTTGGACCAACCGATCCGGAGTCGACGAACCCTTGCCGGGGTACTGGTGACCGACGGGTTCGGAGGCATGAAACACTATTGGCGCTTCGCGGGAACGCAACAGCGTCATCAGCGCGTCCAACACGTCCGTGTCGGTGATGTCGAATAGCTGGCTGTCAGCATGAATCTCGCCGATGCCGGATGCACCGGCGTTGAGACAACGCGACGCCTCCCGCACGGCTGCTTCTCCCCAAGCCGGATTCACCGACACGAAAGCGGTTATTCGATCCGGGTAGGTACTGGCTGCGTGAATAACATAATCATTAGCCTCAGCGGCCAGGGCAGAGTTGGTCCACCCGAATCCCAAAGCCACCGCGTGGTCGACGCCGGCCGAGTCCATATCGCGCAAAAGTCGTCCCGCGTCGGCGATCCGGCCACCCGGTGCCGGGAACAGCGCCGCGTAGGTGGCATCCCGCGCGGCCAACTCATCGTGACGGGAGGCGAAATCGGGAGGGAGAATGTGGCAGTGGCTATCGACAATCATCGGCGGCGTCCCACCGGGCGACAGGTGATGGATCTTGAGATCAGTATAGACCTCACGCTGGCGCGCGCCAGCGTCTGCAGGAAATTGGGTTCCAGGCTGCGCCCGGCACTCAACAGTTGTGGAGGATCTTTCAGCGCGGTTCCTCAATACCGTGAAGCCAGGATGGAGTGAGGTAATCTGGTAAGGCTATCAGCCCCGGACGTTCAGCCCGGCTCATTACCATCTTCCTCCGTAGCAGATACCAAGTGCCGACCGACCGCCTGAAACGCGGCCCTTGATCGGCGGACACGGGCAGACAGGTGATGCAACGTCATCACGCCGAGCGACGTCGGGCAGGGTCGGCGCCGGGCCAACCGCCTACGGGGTTCCGACGGGCAGTGAGTAGGGCTTATGGACAGGGTTACAAGCCAGGAATATAATCTTGGCGGCTCGCATTATTATCCCTTTCTATATCGCAGGTGACGCATTGGCAGTAGTCAACCAACCGCTACAAACCGTCGAGGAGATGCGGGCTACGTCCCTGCAATTGAGACGCGACAGCCTCGAGATGATATACGGCGCCGGGAGCGGGCACCCTGGCGGATCGCTGTCGGAGATCGACATCCTGGTTGCGCTGTATTTCGGCGTAATGCGATATGACGCGGAAAACCCGGCATGGTCGGAACGCGACCGGTTTATCCTGAGCAAGGGACACGCATCGCCAGGCTTTTATGTGACCTTGGCGATGGCCGGGTATTTTGGGCGCGAGGAACTCTCCTCCTACCGGAAGACCGATGGGTTGCTGCAGGGCCATGCCCACCCGAAGACTCCCGGGGTGGAGATGAACTCTGGCTCTTTGGGAATGGGTCTGTCGTTCGCCCTCGGACATGCCCTGGCGTCTCGTCTGGACGGGAAGGATTATCGCGTGTTCGCGCTGCTGGGAGACGGTGAGTGCCAGGAGGGCGAAGTGTGGGAGGCCGCGATGTCGGCCGCGCACCACGGAGCGACGAACCTTACCGCCATCATTGACCGTAACCGGATACAAAATGACCGGTTCACCGACGAAGTAATGACTTTGGAGCCCCTGGCAGACCGGTGGCGCGACTTCGGTTGGAACGTCGTAACGTGCGACGGACACGAGCACGCTGAAGTGTTGCGCGCGCTGGACTCCGCGTCAGGAGCGGGGCCGACCGCGATCATCGCGAACACCGTGAAGGGCAAAGGCGTCAGTTTCATGGAAAACAACCCCGCCTTTCACGGCCGGGCGCCCAACGCCGAAGAGTATGAAGCAGCGCTTAAGGAGTTGGCGTGATGGCGACACAACGGTCATCCGCGGCCACGCGGGAAACCTACGGGCGGACCCTGCTAACGATGGCGGACGAACACCCCGACATCGTGGTGCTGGGCGGTGACCTGAACGTGTCGACGTTTGTTCACCTCTGGCGTGACCAGTTTCCGGAGCGGTTTTTCGACTTCGGACCGGCGGAGCAGAACATCATAGGAGTGGCGGCCGGATTGGCCGCGGCCGGCAAGATACCGTTCGTCAGCACTTTCAGCGTGTTCGGGACCGGCAGGCCCTTTGACCAACTGAGGGTCCTGGTGTCTCAGCCGTCGCTCAACGTCAAACTGGTTTGCACCCACGCCGGGATTCTGACCGGCGAGGACGGAATGTCCGCTCACGGCATTGAGGACCTGTCGCTCATGTGCGCGTTGCCGTCGTTCACGGTGATAACGCCGTCGGACGCGCCGGAAACGGAGCAGGCGGTCCGAGCCATCGCGTCCATGCATGGGCCGGCGTACGTGCGGCTGCCGCGCGCGGCCACCCAGATTGTCCACGACAACGGGTACAAGTTCGAGATTGGCGCGGCGGACGTGAGGAAACCCGGAAGCGACGTGTCCATCATCGCCATGGGGTCATTGGTCGCTCCGGCGCTGGACGCTGCGGACAATTTGGCGGGTCAAGGCATCGATGCTCGCGTGATCAACCTGCATACCTTGGCTCCCGCGGACGAAACGACCATCATCGCCGCGGCCCGGGAAACCGGGGCAATAGTGACCGCCGAAGAGCATTACGTGCATGGTGGGTTGGGCAGCGTGGTCGCGGGCATCGCGTCGAGGAACTGTCCCGTGCCGATCGAAATGGTAGCGTTGCACGGCTACACCAGCTCCGGGCCGGCAAACGAACTTATGGAAAAGAACGGTCTGACCGCGACGGGTGTGGAAGACGCGGTACTGCGTGCCCTGAAACGCAAAGTCTAGCCTGACGGGTTCTTTCAACGTCAGCGCAATTGGTTGCCTGGCGGCGGTCCCGCCAGCGGGACATCCCGGTGCTGAGCGTGCAATGTGCTGGGGCTTCTCCAAGGCAGCGGGCGCGATGCGCGACGATTCGGACCACTGGCCAAATGCCACGCGCTATTGGGGGACCAAACCGTTAGATTCGTGGTGTCCAGTTGTTGCGGTTAATCGTCCGCGACTCAGCCGAAAAACCACCAACCGGGCCGCCGATTAATGCTGGGACAGACGTCCAGAAGCAAGGCCAGGACTTAGGCTAGTTCTCCGAAGTTGGTGGCGGGACGGGACCGTGGCCGCGCCCATTGCCGTTGCCGCCGGCGTAATCATCGTAGCCCGCGTTGCTGAACACCCGAATTTCGTTGCCCTGGAACACATGGAAGTGGTGAGTGTCGTGCTCAGTGCCCACGGTGTTCAGCATATCCGCGTCGATGTCCGACAAAATCTCCTCGATCTGTTCGGCGGTGAGGTTGGCATTGACGGCGATGGCAACATGGGCCAGGCCGGGCATAAAATGCGTATCAATGCGTCCCACCGGCTCTTCCCCTTCAAGGATGAGAAAGGCCTCTGACTGGGAAGTACGGACTTCACGTTCGTAGTCGAACGGCATGGGATCGGCCCTCACTCGCGGATCTGTCCGTCGCCGCGGACGATCCACTTGTAGGAGGTTAGCTCGCGGACACCCAGCGGCCCGCGCGCGTGGAACTTCTCCGTGCTGATGCCAACCTCCGCGCCGAAGCCAAACTGCGCTCCATCTGTAAAGCGGGTGCTGGTGTTGTGGTACACCGCCGCAGCGTCGACCTCGTCCAGGAAGCGCTCGGCCGCGGCCGCATCCCCGGTGACGATAGCCTCGGAATGGCCGGAGCCGTAGGTATGGATGTGGTCGAGGGCGTCGTCCAAGCTGTCAACCACCTTGACGGCGGCGATGAGCGCCAGGAATTCGCGGCCCCAGTCGTCCGATTGCGCGGGAACGGCGTTGACCCCGGTATCAGGACCAAGGATGGTCAGGGCACGGTGGTCGCACCGCATTTCGACGCCGGCGCCGTGCAGTTGGCTGGCGATTTTGGGCAGGCAGCGCCCGGCTACTTCGGAATGAACCAGGACGGTGTCCAGGGCGTTACACACTGTGGGACGCTGCACCTTGGCGTTGAAGACGATGTTGGCGGCCATGTCGGCATCGGCGTCGCGGTCGACGTAGGTGTGGCACACACCGATTCCGCCGGTGAGAACGGGCATGGTCGCGTTTTCGGCGACGAATTTGATGAGACCGGCACCGCCGCGAGGCACGAGCAAATTGATCTGGTCGTTCATTTGTAACATGACGTCGACCAAGGACCGGTCGGTGTCATCAACGAATTGGACGCAATCGGTGGAGAGACCCGCTTCGCCGATGGCCCGGTGCACGAGGGAAACCAGGGCAGTGTTCGACCTTAGGGTCTCTTTGCCGCCGCGCAACAGGCAGGCATTGCCGGATTTGAGGGCGAGGCTGACGATGTCGGTAGTCACGTTGGGACGGCTCTCGTAGATGCTGGCGATCACACCCAGCGGAATGCGGCGCTTCTGGACGTCCAGGCCGTTTTCAAGGGTGAAGCGCTCGATGAGTTCGCCAACCGGATCGTGGAGGGCAGCGACCCTCCGGACGTCGGCGGCCATGCCGTTCAGTCGCTCGGGAGTGAGCAGCAGGCGATCAAGGAGAGCATCGTTGATGCCATCAGTCTGGGCATCTCCATAGTCGGCGTCGTTTGCCGCCAGAATCGATTCCTGTTCGGTCTCCAGCGCGGAGGCGATGCTTTCCAGGGCGTGGTTTCGAGTTTCGGCGGGCGTACGCGCCAGCAAACCCGATGCGGCCTGGGCGGCGGCGCCCTGCTGGCGGAGGCGGTCGGCGGCGTTCATATCTCGATTCTCCCGACACGGGTGCGCGATCTCAGTTAAATCAGGACCAAGTTGTTACGGTGGATCACTTCCTGGCCGTAATGGTATCCGAGGGTGTCGACTATCCGGTCGGAGCGCATTCCGCGGATCCTTCCCACATCGGCCGCCGAATAATTTGCGATACCACAGGCGACGTGCTGATCGGTCAAGTCGGACACGTAAATGATATCGCCTCGACTGAAGTCACCCACGACGCTACGGACGCCGGCGGGGAGCAGGCTGACCGCGCCACGGCGGAGGGCAGCGACCGCGCCATCGTCGACGACGACTTGGCCCCAACCGCTGTCGCCAACCCGAGATAGCATCCAACGCTTGCGCGCCTCAAGTTTGCTTCGGGCCGGTTTGAAGAAAGTGCCAACGGACTCGCCTCGGGCTGCTCGCAACAAGGACTCGGGGTTACGTCCTCGGCAGATCGTCATGCCGATCCCTGAGGTGGTGACCAGGTGGGCCGCGTGGAGCTTGGTAGGCATTCCGCCGCGGGCCCAAGCGTTCCGGTGCTCGCCGGCCATGGCGAAAACGCTGTCGTCGACAAAGTCCACGGCTTCAATGCGGGTGGCCGAGGGATCGGAGCCGGGGTCGGCGGTATAGAGACCGTCGACGTCGGACAGGATGATGAGCAGGTCAGCGTCGATCAGGGCGGCGATGAGCGAGGAAAGGCGGTCATTGTCGCCGAAAACCTCACCGATCTCGTCGGTCGCCACCACGTCGTTCTCATTGACGATGGGGACAACTCCAAGATCGAGGAGGGACAACAGGGTGTTGCGCACGTTGAGGTACGACTGTCGCTGGGAGAGGTCGTGAAGGGTGAGCAACACTTGGGCGATACTGATTTCGTGGCGGGCGAACAGGTCAGCATAGATACGCATCAGCCGACTTTGGCCCAAGGCCGCGAAGACCTGACGGGTCGGTATGTCGGGGATCGCGGGGGCGCCGGGGGTTTCTGCAGCGGATTGACGGCCGGCGGCGATCCCGCCTGAAGTGACCAGGAGCATTTGCGTTTCGTCGACCGTCTGGAGCTCGGCAATCTGGGAAACCAGGTCGCGCATCACGTCGATATCCAGGGCGTTGCCGGAGGCTTCGGTAAGCACACTGGTGCCGGCCTTGACCACTATTCGGCGGTAGGGAGACGAGCGAGAAAACTCGCCACAAAGGAGCGGCATGGTAGAGGGCTCAATATTATGCCGCGAGGCTGACATCACAACGGTCCGGGCTTACACGGGCGAGGTTAGTGAATTATATCACTTGGTACGGTCGTGACATTTCGGCTGGCCAGTGGCGCCACCCGGCGGTGGTTTGAGAGGTTGACCGCGGGTGTTTCCCCGCAGCGTTTTCAAATGCCAGTCTCGGTGGCGCGACGCAGGAGTGTTCTGGGCGATCGATTGATCTTGGCGGCCAACTCTGATCTTGGCGGCCAACTCTGATCTTGGCGGCCAACTCTGATCTTGGCGGCCAACGCCGGCGCTTGGACAGGAGGGCCGCGCAAGCGTACAATTTTCGCGCGGGGCTGGCCCACGGTCAGTCCCGTATCGGCGTGTTTAGGATGACAATTTTTGTACTTGGGTGAATCATGGCGTTAACCGGACTACTTTCGGTATTTGCAGCACAACCCAGGATGCGGCAGCATCTGCGCAACCTGGAGCGGGCGGGCGCCCGAGGATCTCTGGCAATCGACGGCGACCACCAGGCAGTGTACGTGGGCGCGCTTTGGCAACTGCGGCAGCGACCGCTGGTGGTCATCACCCCCAGGCTGGAGGACGCGAGGCGGCTTCACGACCAACTGTTGGAATACCTTGGTGACGACGCGGCAGTTCACCTCTTGCCCGAGCCCGAAGTGTTGCCCTTCGAGCGATTGTCCGTGGATGCGCGCTCGGGTAACCAGCGACTTTCCGCGCTGGCGGCGTTGGCAGGATACGACGCGAGCGAAGCCGATGGGGCGATACCACTGGTTGTGGCGTCGCTCTCCTCGGCGCTCAGGTTGACGCTGCCTCCTGAGCTGGCGCTTGGCCGACACCCTACCGTGAAGGGTGCCGGAGAATTGACCAAAGGGCAGAGGATCGAGTCGATTGATGCCCTGCTCGCCGCCTGGGTCGAACTGGGATACCAGCGGGAACCGCAGGTCGAAACCCCGGGCACTTTCAGCCTGCGGGGAGGCATCCTGGATGTTTATCCGACCAACGCTGACTTGCCTTACCGGGTGGAGTTGTGGGACGACGAAATCGATACGATTCGGCAATTCGATCCCGAGTCCCAGCGGTCCGTGGGCGACGCCGAGCGCGTGGCCATCGTGGCGGCGCGGGAACAGTTGCCCGGTCTGTGCGATGCCGAATGGTTCGACGAGCGCCGGAGCCGCATCGACCTGAGCTCTTGCAACGGCGCCACCGTCGCGAGATTCCAGGAAGAGCTGGGTAATTTACTTGCCGATCCGAACCCGGAAACGCTGGCCTTTTACAACGCATTCCTCAACCGGCACACGCTGGCCGATTACATTCCGGCAGACAGCATAGTCGTGACGGACCGGCCCAACCGGCTGTCAGGGGAGGCAGAAGAGCAGGAGGCGAAGTACGAGCAACAGCGGAGCAACCGGCAGGACCGCGGTGAACTGCCGCACGGTTTTCCATCGCCGTCCACGGATTGGGCTAGCATCACCGAAAGAATGAACGCTTCCGGCATAACCATGGTGAGCATGGAGCGCTGGGGCACCGAAGAGTCGCCGAACGCGTTGCAGGCGCTGCCTGAGCGGAGCGCGGGGCTTGCCCATTTTACCGACGATGTGGTCGAGAGGGTCGCCCAAGGCGGCGCGGTGGTGGCGGTGACCCAGCATGCCTCGCGGTTGGTCCAGGTCCTGGAAGAGGCCGGCGTCGCCGCGACGCTGACGGACAGCGTGCCAGCCCGACCGAGGGCAAGCCGGGTACAGGTGCTGACCGGAGCGCTGAGCCGCGGCTGGCAGACCGAGGCGACCAATAGCGAACCGGCGGTTGCGGTTTACAGCGACGCGGAGCTGTTCGGTACGGTCAAACGCAGAAGCTACCGGCCGTCGCGCGCGAAGCGGGATTTGGGCGACGCGGTGTCGCTGGGGGACCTCACTCCAGGAAGCTACGTAGTTCACATCGACCATGGGGTCGCCAAGTTTGTGGGCACAACGCACCTGGAATCGGCCGGTGACGACCGCGAGTACCTGGTGCTGGAATATGCGGAAGACGACCGGTTGTACGTGCCTACCGAACAGCTGGACCGGTTGGGAGCATACGTGGCCGCCACCGACCAGCCGCCGACCCTAACCCGGTTGGGCGGCAGCGAATGGCAACGCATCAAGGAAAAAGCCAGCGGCGCGGCACGGGAGATAGCCGAAGAATTACTCCGGCTCTACGCGGTCCGGGAAACGGTGAACGGACATCGCTTCGGTCCCGACGCCGCGTGGCAGCAAGACCTTGAGGACTCTTTCCCGTACCAGGAAACGCCGGACCAGATGCAGGCGATCGACGAAGTCAAGAATGACATGGAAGACGACAAGCCCATGGACCGCCTGATTTGCGGGGACGTGGGCTACGGCAAAACCGAAGTCGCGCTGCGGGCGGCGTTCAAAACGGTCAATGAGGGAATGCAGGTGGCGGTGCTGGTACCGACCACGGTGCTGGCGCAGCAGCATTACGCCACATTCGCGGAAAGGCTGGCTCCCTATCCGGTCAAGGTCGCGGTCCTGAGCCGGTTCCGAACGCATAAAGAGCAGGAAGAGGTGGTGCAGGCCGCGAAGTCCGGCATGGTGGACATCGTGATCGGCACCCACCGCATCCTGCAAAAGGACATGGGGTTTAAAGACCTGGGGTTGGTGATCATCGACGAGGAGCATCGGTTCGGAGTGGCGCACAAGGAGCGCCTGAAACAGATGCGGGCCGAAGTCGACGTGATGACGCTGAGCGCAACTCCGATCCCCCGGACGCTGCACATGGCGCTGGCGGGGGTGCGGGACATGAGCGTGATCCACACTCCACCGGAAGCGCGGCTGCCGGTAAAGACTTTCGTCGCGGAGGACAGCGCCGAGCCGGTGCGTGAGGCGATTCTTCGCGAGTTGGAGCGGGATGGGCAGGTGTTCTTCCTGCACAATCGGGTGCGGACCATCAACAACGTCGCGGAGGAGTTGGGGAAACTCGTCCCGGAAGCCCACATACTCGTGGGCCACGGGCAGATGCCGGAGTCGGAATTGGAAGAGGTGATGGTGACGTTCGCCAACCGAGAGGCGGACGTGCTGGTCTGCACCACGATCATCGAGTCGGGCCTGGACATGCCCAACGTGAACACGATCATCATCGACCGTGCAGACCGCTTTGGGCTGGCACAGCTGTACCAACTGCGTGGGAGAGTGGGCCGTGGAGACCACCGGGCCTACGCCTACCTGCTGCTGCCCGACAACCAGGAAATAAGCGAGGCGGCCAGCAAACGCATCCACGCGATACTGGAAGCGAACGAACTGGGAGCGGGGTTCCGCATCGCCATGCGCGACCTGGAGATCCGCGGCGCCGGCAACCTTCTCGGAGCCGACCAGAGTGGGCAGATCCACGCTGTGGGACTCAACATGTACTCGGAGTTGCTCAACGAGGCAGTGCAGAACCTGTCAAATCACGACGCAGGCGACTCCAGCGCGAAAGCGGAGTCTCCTCCGAGGATCGATCTGCAGGTTCCGGCCTCCATACCTTCGGAATACATCGCGCACATGCCGGCGCGGTTGGCCTTCTACCAGAGGCTATCCAATGTCGCCGACCGGGAGCAGATCGCGGCGGTCCAGGCGGACATGGAAGACAGGTTCGGGCCGGTGCCGCAGGAAGTAAGCAACCTGTTGGCGGTTACGGACCTGCGTTGCCTGGGCTCCTCAGCGGGGGTCGAATCGATGACGAGCAGCAATGACGGGATCATCACCGTCGTGTTCCGGCATCCGGTGGGCGATGCCAGGCAGGCCTTGCAGAACAAGATGGGACGCGGTATCCGGGTCGGCCGGCGGGACATGGAAGTCCGGACCGCCGGTGACACGGATTTCGGCATCGAGCGACTGGGAAGAGCGCTGCGCCGCGTGGCCTCGTTTGTCGATGAAATGCGAACGGCCATGGAAGCGGCGGCGGAGTCTGCCCAAATAGCGCCGGACTCGCCAGCTGAAGCTCCGGCGCGGAGCCGGCGACGGCGACGGCCAGCGCGGCAACCGGTCGCCGCCGACTGAGTTACTCACTCCCCGCGGGCTCCAGGTCCGCCACCTCGCGGACTCCCGCGGCACGGTTCCGGCGGCGGCGGCGACGGCGGAGCAGGACGATTGCCGCTACGACTATGGCGACAATCACGACGGCGACGACGGGGAAGAGGATCAGCGCTTCTTCGAAGTCCGAACGCGGAGTGAACACCGATACCTGAAGCCTGGCGTCCGGAGCGTCCGACGCGGGGTCCTGGCCAAACGCGCTGTAATTCCAGCGCTCGATGTTGCCCAGCCCGGCGCCGTATTCCATGATGTCCCGCAGGTCGGATGACTTGACCACCAGGGCCATCTCCATGGTGACGAATTTGTCCTCATCCCGCCTGGTTTCGCTCCAGCTGTCCACGTAGCCGCCCAGAGATTCGGCCTGCGACCGGATCTGCTCGGCGACGGACAGCGGATCGGACGCGGACAGCGCCAAAGATGCCTCCAGGTTCACGTTGGAGCGAATGGCCAACGTGAGGCGGGCATTGGGCACCTCGTTGAGCGGCGCCGGGCCGACGGAGGTGAGCTGCCGGCCGGACGGCGCGCCCAGGGTCGCCGCGTAGTCCATCAGTGGGGCCAGGTCGGCAGGCTTGACGAACACAATCAGGTCAACCGCCCGGCCGCCGCCCTCGTCGTACGATCGCTTCTGGCCCACGTAGCCGTCCAAAGCGTCGACGCGGGCGATGGTGGCATCGGCGGCGGCGGACGGGTCGCCGGTGGAAAGTTCAAGATTACCCACCGGGGGATCGGCAGCGTAACGTCCGGGCAGACGGAGGTTGACCGTGATCAGCGAAGTCGCCACGCGGCCCGTCAGATCCCGCTGGGTCGCTTCAACGTGCTCGATATCGGAGCGAACCTCGGCGATGCGCTGCTCGATCTGGATGATGTCCTCAACCGTGGGAGCGTTTTCCAGCAGAGTGACGAGGCGCTCCTCCTGGGCGTACCAGGCAGTGAGGCGCGCTTCGTTGTCGATGAGGCGCTCGGTCACGTCGGTGGACGACACTCCTTCGTCGGTGACCCGTCCCAGTGAGCGCAAGGAGTCCAGGCCGCTGTCCAGGCGGTCAGCCGGCACGCGAATTCGGACGGTGGCGGAACGGTAACCAGCTTCCCCAAAGACTTCGGACGATTCGACCCACCCTCCGCTCTGAACGGCCAGCGATTCAACCCGCCGAACGGTTCCGTCAATGTCGGTAACTTCCACGCTCATCCACGACTCCACGATGAGGTGACGCGCCGTTTGCGATTGCACCGATTGCGAGGGTCCTCCGTCAGACGACTCTTTTACCGTGCGTTCCGCCGCCGCGGCGGCCGGCGCGGCGGGTGCTTGCTGCGCCGAGGCCTGTCGCGGAACAGCAGTCGCGGCGGCAGCGGCTCCATCGGCTCCGGCCGGACCGGGTGCGCCCGGCGGGCCCGAACGTAGCCGTTCAACCTCCAGCCCTAGAGTGGCGGTGGTGTCCTCAGCATACGGCGCGGCAGGAGCCGGCGCCGGCGCCGACTCCGCCGCGCCCCCGCAGGCGAGCGCCATTGCCGCCAAGAACAGCAGCAGTGTGGGTATCCAGGCCCTTCTCAAGTTTCGGCTACGCATTTCTACAGCCCCCTTTTGATTGACCATCATACGCAATCGCACCGTGAGCGGTTTGCGAGGCCTGCCTGCGGGTATGCTACAATTTGAACATAGTCGGGGTGTAGCGCAGTGGCTAGCGCGCCACGTTCGGGACGTGGAGGTCGGTGGTTCGAATCCACTCACCCCGACCATTATTTTTGCCCGATCAGGAGGGACGCGATGGCGCGCCGCAGTTTCTGGGCCTGGGGGATGGAAGACCGGGAGCCGTCGCCGGCGGACTATGCTGCGATGGCGGAGCGGATCCACGGGCGATATGGCGCATCGCTTCCCGCGCCCACGCCTCCCACCGACGCCGGTCTCAACCTCCGGCAGCCGCGCTTTACGCCGCACCCGCTGGTTGCCGAGTTTTGCACGATGGACGACCACGATCGGGCGGCGCATACCTACGGCCGCAGCTTCCGGGATCGCATCCGCGGTTTCAACTGTGATTTTCCCAACCCTCCTGACGTAATCGCCTATCCGCGCACCGAGGAAGAGGTCACGCGGGTGCTGGATTGGTGCGCCAACTCGAACATCGTGGCGATTCCCTATGGAGGTGGGAGCACTGTGGTAGCGGGCGTCGAGCCTCCTGAGGCGGACAAGGTATGCACGATAGACCTGACGCGCCTGGACCAGGTGCTCGAGGTGGACGAAACCTCCCGAGCGGCGCGCATCCAGGCGGGAGCGCTGGGTCCGGGTTTGGAAGCGCAGCTACGGCCCCACGGATACACGCTGCGGCACTTCCCGCAGAGCTTTGAGTTCTCGACGCTGGGAGGCTGGATCGCCACGCGGAGCGGCGGGCACTACGCGACGAACCATACTCACATCGATGACTTCGTGGAGTCGGTGCGGATGGTGACGCCGTCAGGGGTTTGGGAATCGCGGCGGCTGCCGGGAAGCGGCGCCGGGCCCTCTCCGGACCGGATGGTGATCGGCAGCGAGGGTATCCTGGGGATCATCACCGAGGCGTGGATGCGGATGCAGGCGCGGCCGCGATTCCGGGCGTCGGCGGGAGTGGTGTTTGAGGGTTTTGACGCGGCGTCGGAAGGCGCTCGGCTGATCGCGCAGGCGAAACAGTGGCCGGCCAACCTGAGGGTGCTGGACCCAGCGGAAGCGGAAGACTTCGCCGGTCTGGACGGCAAGCAGGCGCTGCTGATCGTTGGCTTCGAATCGGCTGAAATTCCGCAGGGCGAAAACATCCGACAGGCGGTGGTCATCGCGAGGGATGCCGGCGGTACGATCAACGAGGACGATATCGTGATCGCCGACGCCGCCGAACGGTCGGGGTCATCGGCAGGGCGACAGGGTGCGGTAGGCAACTGGCGGGACTCCTTCATCAACGCGCCGTACGAACGGAACGCGACGATTGGGTTCGGGATCGTAGCCGAGACGCTGGAGACCGCGATCACGTGGGAGCGGTGGCCGACGTTGGACGAGATGGTGCGGGGAGCGTTGGGAGAGGCACTGCAGCGGACGTGTGGTGGTGGCCGCGTGTCATGCCGGTTCACCCACGTATATCCGGACGGGCCGGCTCCGTACTACACGTTCGAGGGTTTGGGCCGAGTAGGTGGGGAGTTGGAGGCGCACGCTGAGATCAAGCAGGCAGCGTCCGACGCCGTGATGGCCGCGGGCGGGACGATCACACACCACCACGCGGTGGGACGCACGCACCGGCCGTGGTACGACGGGCAGCGGCCGGACCCGTTTGCAGAGGCGCTGCGGGCGGCGAAGCGAGCAGTTGATCCCAACGGTATTTTGAACCCAGGCGTTTTGATCGATCCGTAGGCAATCGGCGAGGCTGGACCACAGGAGGTTCAAAGATGCGTGGCGTAGTTTTCACGGGAGACAAGGAAGTCGAAATCCGCACGCTGCCGGATCCACACCCCGGGGCCGGCGAAGTGGTTATCCAGATGAAAGCCTCCGGCCTGTGCGGGAGCGATCTGCGGCACTACCGGGCGCCCAAAGCCGAGCGCGGGGACCCGACGAACTTGAAGGTCGCCGGGCATGAGCCTTGCGGGGTGATCGCCGAGATCGGGGCCGGCGTTACTGAGCTTGCAGTAGGTGACCGCGTGATGATGCACCATTACACCGGCTGCCGAGCGTGCACGATGTGCCGCATTGGATACACGCAGATGTGCCTTCATGGATCGGTGGTATACGGCACCGGAGCGAACGGGGGACACGAGGACTACCTGATCTGTCCGGCGTACACATGCGTCAAGATGCCGGACGGGCTTGATTTCGACGAAGGGTCGGCGTGCGCGTGCGGAACGGGGACAGCGTTCTGGGCGTTGAAGCGGTTGAATCTTTCCGGCGACGACACGCTGGCGATTTTCGGTCAGGGGCCGGTGGGAGCCAGCGGAACGATGTTCGCCAAAGCGATGGGCGCGCGGGTGATCGCGGTAGACGTGGACACGGAACGACTGGAGCTGGCGCGAAGCCTGGGAGCCGACGTTTGCATTGACGCCGGAACGCAGAACCCGGTGGAGGCGATTCGCGAGTTGACGCACGGCGAGGGATCGCCGGCGACCCTGGACTGCACGGGCCGACCGGAGGCTCGGATCAACGCGGTGGATTCGGCGATGCTGTGGGGCCGGGTGTGCTTCGTGGGCGAGGGCAATACCACGACTTTCGACGTCAGCCCGCAGATCATCCACAAGCAGCTGACCATCGTCGGGTCGTGGACGTTCAGCCTGAACGGACTGGCAGAGGTCGCGCGGTTCGTGGTGGACCGGAAGGTCCCGCTGAAGGACCTGTTCACCCACCGGTTCACGCTGGACGAGGCAGACGCGGCCTACAAGCTATTTGAAGCCGGCGGGACGGGCAAAGTCTGCTTTACCTGGGCATGACGCTCCAGCCCTGGTAGCCTCGGGAGGGTCGCGATGCGCAAGCTGACGTGTTACGCGTGGGGAAAGCCTGGCGATTGGGAAGCCTTGTGCGTGGACTTGGACATAGCGGCAGAGGGCGAGACTTTCGAGCAGGTGCGTAGCGAGCTGTCGGACGCGGTCGAGACGTTTGTCGATTATGTGTGGGAATTGCCCGAAATCGAACGGCGCACGTTGCTGAACCGGAAAGCTCCGCTGAACATTCGGTTCCGGCTGGCGATTGCGTCAAAACTCTTCGGGTTTACATCTGCGTTGAAACTTGGCGCGGGAGGCAGAGGCATTCACCGTGCCGAGTTTTCAGTGACGCCTTCCGCATGACATACAGGGATGTCATCTCGGTTTTGGAAGAAAACGGGTTCCGTTTCGCGCGCTACGGGAAAGGAAGTCACCGAGTGTATCGGGCGTACCGCAATGGCAAGAGTTGGGTAGTGGTCTTGTCATTTAGCAGGCCAAGAGAGGATGTCAAACCGGGCACACTCGGATCGATAATCAGGCAATCAGGGTTACCGAAGGACGTTTTCAACCGTTAGGGGCGCGAACAACCGCGCCGCTGCTTCTTGCGGATCATGTCAGTTTTGGCAAGACTTTCTTGTTGAAGAGGCGCAGGGACGCCGTCTGCATATCGTCGGGCATCAGGTTGCCGTAATTGATTTCGTAGATCAGCTGGTCCAGCCCCAGGGTCTCCTCCAGCTCCGCCAACCGCTCCGTGACCGAGTCGGGCGTACCGTACACCACCTTGTCGCGCAACCAGTCGTCGTAGTCCATGCCCAGGATCCGGCGGCTCTGCTCGGCCCAGTCGCCCAGGGTTCCGGTGCGGCCGGCATAGGAACCGACGCGCTCGCCCAGGCGGGACATCGAGTTCATCGCGGATTCCTTGGGGTTGCGGTAAGCCAGTTCGGCGTCCTCATGGACATAGATTGGCACCCGCAGGCCCACCTTGCCCTCTCCCTGATGGCCGGCGGCCTTCCAGGCGGAGCGGTATTCGGCCATTGCCGCCTGCAGCTCGGCCAGAGTGAAGACGCGGGACGGATTGACGATCAGCGGGTATCCCATCGCCCCGATGATGGGGAAGCTCTCCGCCGAAGTCACACCCACCGTGATGGGCGGATGGGGCTGCTGATAGGGCCGGGGGGTGACGGTGAGCTCATCGCACGAGTAGTGTTCGCCGTGGAAAGAGAAGGTCTCCTGGGTCCAGGCGGCGACGACGATCTCGAGAAACTCGTCGAAGCGGCTGCGGCTCTCTTCGAAGCCCACGTTGAAACCTTCGTGGACATTGGGGAAAGTGCCCCGGCCAACACCCAGTTCGACGCGACCGTCGCTGATGTGGTCCAGCGTGGCCATTTCCTCGGCGACGCGGATCGGATGGCCCAGCGGCAGGCAGTAGACGGCGGTGCCGATACGCATGGTACTGGTCTTGGCGGCGATGGCGGTCGCGATCATCACAGGCGAAGCCAACACGCGCTCCATGTTGAAGTGGTACTCGGCGAGCCACACGGATGCAACGCCCAGGTCTTCAGCTTCCTGCACCAGACGGAACGACTGGGTAAAGGCGTCGTGATGGTCGCCATCAAGTGGGCGGGGAAACTCGAGAAAGAGTCCGAACTCCATACCTGTCCTCCTCGTTGGGGTTCGTGGGATCGCCAAGTTGCGGGTTACACCTGCGAACCCTGGATGCGGCGCTCCTGGCCCTGCCATTCCTTATCCCGAAGGATGTACTTCTGGATCTTGCCGGTAGCAGTTTTGGGCAGGTCGCCGAACTCGACGCTCTTGGGCGCCTTGAAGTGGGCGATGCGGTCGCGGGTGAAATCAATGATCTCGTCGGCCGTCAGTTGGCCGCCACCGCGCGGCACCACGAAGGCCTTGGGAACCTCGCCCCAGCGCTGGTCGGGCACGCCAACTACGCAGACCTCGAGCACGCCGGGATGTTCCATGATGACCTTTTCAACTTCCTGGCTGGAGATGTTCTCGCCGCCGGAGATGATGATGTCCTTGGACCGGTCCTGCAGCTCGATGTAACCGTCCGGGTGGCGCACGGCAAGGTCGCCGGAATGGAACCAACCGCCGCGGAAGGCCTCGGCGGTGGCGTCCGCGTCGTCGTAGTAGCCCTTCATCACGGCGTCGCCCTGCATGACGACTTCGCCCATGGTCTCGGCGTCGCGGGGGACGTCAGCCATTTCCTCGTCGACGACGCGGAGACCCGAGCCGTACACGATGAAGGGGACGCCCTGCCTGGCCTTGACGCGAGCCAAGTCCTCGCTGTCCATGGTGTCCCAATCGGGCTGGCCGGCCGCGACGGTGCAGGGGCCGTAGGTCTCGGTCAGGCCGTAGACATGGATGATCTCGGCGCCCATGCCCTCGACGGTACGGATGACCTGGGGAGCGGGAGGGGCGCCGGCGGTCATGATGGTCAGGCCGGAGAGGTCTGCAGAGGCGGCCTCGGGCGCGGCGTAGAGACCAGTGAGCACGGTGGGAGCGGCGCACAGGTGGGTGACGGATTCCTCGCGAATGAGGCGGTACACCTCGGCGGGTTCAACGCGTCTCAAGCAGACATGGGCCCCACCAACAGCGGTCACGGCCCAGGGGAAGCACCAGCCGTTGGCGTGGAACATGGGCAGCGTCCACAGGTAGATGCTTCGCCAGTTCATGCCCATTTCCATGGCCTCGCCGAGGGCGTTGAGGTAGGCGCCACGAGGGGTGTATTCGACACCCTTGGGCATACCGGTGGTGCCGGAGGTGTAATTGATGGTGAGAGTATCGTTCTCGGTGGCCGGTCCAAGGAGCTCAGGGAGAGGGTCCACTGAGGCGAGCCACTGTTCGTATTCTGGGCCGGGGATGTCCGTAGCCAAGGGCGTGGTATCCCGCACCTGGACGTAGGTCTCGACGCCCGGACAGTCATCACGCAACTGGCGCACGGTGTCGGCCAGCTCGGAGTCGAAGACGAGCACCTTTGAACCGGAGTGGTTGAGGATGTAGGCAATCTCGCGGGGCGAGAGGCGAATGTTCAGGGCGACCAACACGGCGCCGATGCCCATGGGTCCGAAGTTGGCTTCGAGCATGGAAGGCAGGTTCGGCAGCAGGAAAGCGACACGATCGCCGGGACCCACGCCAACACTGCGCAGAGCGGCCGCCTGGCGGCACACGCGTTCGTAAAACAGAGCGTAGGTAGTGACGGCGCCGTTATAGATGCACGCCGCTCGGTGCGGATACACGGCGGCGCTGCGCTCGAGGAAAAGCAGAGGCGTCAGTTTCTGGGTAGAAGCGGTGGGGGTTGTCATTATGATCACCCTGGGCAATGGTTCGACATTTACCCGATTTTGCCGCATTTTGTACCGTACAAGTGGAATTGTCCAGTTGGAACGATTGGGTTATTCTGCCGGCGGATACGGTTGATGGTCGAACTGCACACCCGACAGTTGGAGCGCAGCGCGCAGCCGCGGGCATTGAAAGCACGCACCGAACGTCCAGGCGGTATCCCAAACTCACCCACAGGATTGACCAGCATGGCAGGCGAACAACGAGATTTTATTGGCTACGGGGAGAAGCCTCCGGTGGTCGAGTGGCCGGGGGGAGCGCGGATTGCGATATCGGTGGTGGTGAACTATGAGGAGGGGAGCGAGGCGTCGTTGCTGGACGGCGACGGGTATCACGAGACGAACAACGAGGTGCCGTCTCCGGTGCCGGCGGGGCAGCGGGACCTGTTCAACGAGTCGTTCTTCGAGTACGGGAGCAGGGTGGGGGTCTGGCGGATCCTCAACCTGCTGGATAAGTACAGCGTGAAGAGCACGTTCTTCTCCTGCGCGGTGGCGTTCGAGCGGAACCTGGAAGTGGCGCGGGCGGTGGTCGAACGGGGCCACGAGGTCTGCGGGCACGGCTACCGTTGGGAGGAATACCACAACAAGAGCCGGGACGAGGAGGCGGAGGCCATCCGCATGACTGTGGAGTCGTTGACCAGGACCACCGGTGAGCGACCGGTCGGTTGGTTCACCCGGTATGGCCCCAGTGTCAACACTCGGGAGTTGGTGGTAGAGGAGGGCGGCTTCGTCTACGACAGCGGGGTGTTCAACGACGATCTGCCGTATTACACGGAGGTGCATGGCAAGCCGTGGCCCGTGCTGCCGTACAGCTTCGAGACCAACGACGCGCGGTTCTGGCGGGGTGGCCTCAACAGCGTGGGCGACTTCTACGAGTACCTCAAGGATAGCTTCGACGTGCTGTACGAGGAGGGGAGAACACACCCCAAGATGATGTCAGTAGGGCTGCATTGCCGGATCGCTGGACGGCCGGCACGTTCGCGAGCGTTGGACCGATTCCTGCGCTACGCGCGCACGCATCCTGGGGTCTGGTTCGCGAGGCGGGATGAAATAGCGCGGTGGTGGCTGGAAAACTACCCGCCGGGAACATTCCAGTGATCGATTTAGGGGCGGGATAAGTGCTCCCGCCCCGAGGTTACCTACCGGTGATTGCGGTCGTGGCAATCACCACTCGTTGACGCGCAGGATGTTGAACACGGCTCCTTCGGCGTCCCTGAGGACGGCAAATCGGGCGAAATCCTCGATGTCGCGGGGTTCTACGATGACCCCGCCACCGAGCTCCCCAGCTTTGGCGGCGACGGCATCCACATCATCTACGCCGAAGTAAACGCCCCAGTTTGGCGGTACCGGGCCCCAGTCGTCTCCAATCTGGATGATGCCGGCGATCTGTATGCCTGAGACCTTGAGGAGGGTGTAAGGAAAGTCAGTGTTGGGGTCGGGTCCAGCTTCGGCCTGTAGTACCTGAGTGTAAAAGGTTGAAGCGGACTCGGTGTCGGTCGTGGCCAGCTCGAACCAGGAGAGGGCGCCGGGCTCGTGCATCTTGCCGGCGCCGGCGTGCTTTAGTGGATACCACAGGCGGAGGAATGCGCCTTCCTTGTCCTGGATGATCGACATGCGGCCGACGTCCATCACGTCGAAGGGTTCCATCAGCACGGTACCGCCGGCGTCGCGGACTCGGGCTACGGCAGCGTCCAGGTCGTCAACGGTCACGTAGACGCTCCAATGGGGAGGCAGGTTTTCCTGGCCGGGACCGGGTTCAGCTGAGGCGCAGACGGGAACGCCGTCGTGGGAGAACATGGTGTAGACCATGTCGGGACCGGCAGGATGATCGTCGCAGGTCCAGCCGAAGAGGCTGGTGTAGAAGTCCTTGGCGGCCGGCCCGTTTTTGCAGAGCAGGTCGGCCCAGGATGGGGAGCCGGACGAGTATTCGGTTATCTCAGGCATTATGAAGCCTCCTCGTGAAAGGTAGACATTCAGGATAACAGGCGGGCCGGCTGATCGTCGGCGTCGCGCTGTCAATTGCGCGGCGATAGCAGCGGAACAAAAGTAGGGGCGAATCGTTATTCGCCCCTACGCCGGTGATTGACCGTTGTGGCGTGCCTAGTTGTCGGCAGGCACGGCAACCTCGACCTTGGTCTCCTTGAAAGCGGGCATGATCTCCTCGGCAAACCACTGGAGCTGTTCCAGGATGACGCTTTGCGGAGTGCCGACCGGCTGGCCGACCTGGATCCGCGACAAACCGGGATATCGTTCCTCCACGCCTTTGAGCTTTTCGATGATCATGTCGGGCGGGCCGGCCAGGACACTGCCGTTCTCGATCGCGTCCTCAACCCTGGGAAGGCCGGCGTTGGGAGCCATGCGGGGGTCGCTGATGTCACGGATCTGCTGCTCGGTAAGGCCGCGGGTGAGGCGCAGTGGGCCGAACATCTTGAGGTTCTCTTCGTAGAACCGGCCGGTTGCCCGAGCGGCTTCCTCAACGGTGGGAGCGATATGGAAGTGGAAACCGACGGCCAGGTCCTCGCCCAGTTCGGCGTTGGGCTTGCCATGTCGCTGCAACGCATCGCGGTAGGCGTGCATGATGCCGTCCATGGCGCCGCCCTCGGACGAGCCGCCGCCGATTACGCCCTTGATTCCCATTTGGGCCATGAATTCGAGCGCGCGCCCGGTGCCGCCCTGGATAGGCTGCCAGCATTCGACCGGGAGGGTCCTGGGACGGGGAACGAGGGTGATTTCTTCGAGTTCGTAGCCGCGGTAGGGCACCTGCGGCGGGAAGTCGTAGTGCTTGCCGTGGTGGGCAAAGGAGCGCTCGTTGAAGGACTTGAAGATCACCTGAACCTGCTCCTCGAAGAGCTCACGGTTGGCGGGTTGATCCATGAGCGGGGAGCCGAGGGACTCGACTTCGCGGGTGTGATAACCGCGACCGACGCCGAAGGTGACGCGGCCCTTGGTGAGCCAGTCAGCCATGGCGAAGTCCTCCGCCAGGCGAAGAGGGTGCCACATGGGAGCGATGTTGAAACCGCAGCCGAACCGCAGTCGCTCGGTGACGTGGGCCAAGTGGACGATGAACATCAACAGATTGGGAATGCACTCGTAGCCCTCGGGCTGGAAGTGGTGCTCCGCCATCCAGAAGGTGTCGTAACCGTTCTTGTCGAGGGTCTGCGCGATAGCCACCCCCTTGTCGAACGCGGTGGCGAGGAACTCGTCCGAGAAAAGTGCGGTCGTTGACCGCGGTACCGGCATAGCCCACGTCGTCCATGTCAACGTGGCCCGCGTACAAACTGTCAAAGGTGGTAATCATCAAAAGCCTCCGGCAATCGGGCGCAAAAAGCGATTAGGGCGGTCTTCCGTGAAGTGCAACCGCAGGATGATGGCATTTTAGGCCAATGGTGACGACGGTTCAACCGCTACAAACCTTGAATTACGAGGGCAACTCTGGCAAGATAACGTCATCATGAAAGTAGGCGCTTTTGAACTTCAGGAACCCCTTCCCGAACTACGGGATCCCCACGTATTCGCGATGATTCGCCCGTGGGTCGACGTCGGCAGTGTCGGCACGTTGACCCTGAACCGCTTGGAAAGATACCTGGGCTCCAAGGAATTGGGCAGGTTGCATCGGCCTGGCGAATTCTTCGATTTCACCCGGTATCGCCCCAACATGCGTTTGGTGGACAACGAGCGGCGAGTGCGCGTTCCGAATAGCATCATCAGGTATGCGACAACCGAAAACGGCCCGGACTACCTGTTTTTCCATCTTCGTGAGCCCCACGCCAACAGCGAGACGTATACTGACTCGATCCTGGAGGTCGTGGAGAAATTCAACGTAAAACGATACTGCCGACTGGGAGCAATGTACGACGCGGTGCCCCACACGCGCCCATTGCTGGTCACCGGCGCCCTCGGTTCGGTGCCACAACTGCGGTCGGTACCCAATCTGAAACTGCGCGGGAGCACCTACCAGGGCCCCACGACGATAATGAACTTGGTGTCCGACGGTATCGACAAACTGGAGATTGAGGCCATTAACTTCATGGTGCATCTCCCGCAGTATGTCCAATTGGACGAGGACTATAACGGGACGGCGCGAATGATCGAGGTCCTATCCTCCGTCTATTCAGAAATCCCTGCGGACCTCGCCCCAACCCGGCGTGGACAGAGGCAATACCGGGAACTGAACTCGGCGGTGGAACGTAATTCGGACTTGCAGGGTCTCATCAAGCAGATGGAAGACTATTACGACACCAACGAAGCCGATGGTGAAACGACCGAGGAGACCGCGAACCAGGAAGATGCGGTAGCGCTGTCTCCGGAAATCGAACAGTTCCTGAGCGAACTGGGCGAGGAGTTCGGTCAGAGGGACGACTAGCACGCCAGATTCGCAGAAAAAACGAGCCGGGTCGTATGACCCGGCTTTCGTTTTGCGCTCGCTGGGAGCGATGGTGGCGACGGATGGATTCGAACCAACGACCTAGCGCTTATGAAGCGCCCGCTCTGCCTCTGAGCTACGTCGCCTACCGAGCGGCCTCGACCAGACGCCGATGCTACCGCAAACCAATCCATGGTAAGGCTGTGGCAGCCGGGTTGTCAATCGAATGACGGTGCAGCATCGGTCGGGCGACGCGGACCACGCGCTATGGGGGGCGGTTGTCGGACTAGAAACCGTGGTGTCGGAATTGTGCAGGGAACTGCAACCGTTTCCGGCTTTCCTGGGCATGACAACAATCCAAAGCGGTCGAGCTTGACCCGATTCCGGCTCCATTGCCGGACTTGGGATGCGTCGTCATAACTCCGGATGGGGAGATCGCCGAACTGGACGTTGCAGCGATCCCCGGCGTGATCGGGGTGCTGGAGGTCGACCAGGTTGAGGAATACCGGCCGTTGGATTTGACGGCCCACGAGCGGCTGATTTACTTGACGGAGGCCGTGCGCGTGCTTGCTGCCGAGGTCGCTAAGCGCGCCGGCTAGGCAACGGTCAGGTCAATGTCGCCGGATTGGCCACCGGTTTTGCGCAGCAGCCTGACGCCATCGATGCAAACGGCCCGGTCGACGGCCTTGCACATGTCGTAGACCGTGAGGGCGGCCACCGAGACCGCGGTCAGGGCTTCCATCTCGACGCCCGTTTTCCGGAAGTAGTCGCCGTCGTGGTGATGCGAACCCGGCTTTCGGCTTCCTCCAGGTCGAGCTGCACGTCGACTTTGTTCAATGGCAGGGGATGGCACAAAGGGATAAGCTCGGAAGTCTTCTTGGCGCCCATGATGCCGGCCAATTGGGCGATGGTGAGCACGTCGCCCTTCTTCATCAAACCATCGCGGATCAGAGCCAAAGTAGCCGGCTGCATGACCACGTAGCCGCAAGCCTGCGCCATGCGATCGGTGACGGGTTTCCAACCTACGTCGACCATGCTGGCGCTGCCATCTTCGGCCAAGTGCGTCAGGCGATCAGCGGGCTTGCTGGAGTTTTCGGTTGTCATGGTCCCCTTCATCCACCGATGTGGTACATCTCAACCTTGGGGCGACTCGCAGTTTCGGCCGCGGTCAGTTCGGCGCGTTCTTCTGAGTATCGGTCCCGTCGGACGCTCCACGCGCCGGCGATGACGTCGGCCAGTTCGGCATTGGAGGCGCCCTTACGCATTGGGCCGCGCAGGTCGACACCGTCGGTCGCGAACAGGCAGGTGTAGAGCTTGCCGTCGGTGGAGAGGCGGGCGCGAGTGCAGTTGGAACAGAAGGGCTGGGTCACGGAGGCGATCACGCCGATTTCGCCGGCGCCGTCCCGGTAACGCCAGCGGTTGGCGACCTCACCCAGGTAATTGGGGTCAGCGGGCTCCAAAGGCAGTTCGGCGTCGATCATGGCCACTATCTCGGCGGCGGACACGACCTCGTCGAGTTTCCAGCCGTTGCGGGTGCCGACGTCCATGTATTCGATGAAACGAACGATGTGTCCGGTTCCCTTGAAGTGGCGTGCCAGCTCCACCACGGTGTGGTCATTCACGCCCTTCTGAACGACGGCGTTGATCTTGACCGGGTTCAAACCGGCATCAGACGCGCGCCCAATTCCGTCCAGCACGCGGCGGGTTCCAAAACCACGCCCGTTCATGCGCTTGAAGACCTCGTCATCCAGCGAATCCAGGCTGACAGTGATGCGGACCAGACCTGCCTCGGCCAGTTGGGTCGCTTGTTGGGCGAGCAGGTATCCGTTGGTAGTCAGGGTGATGTCGTCGGCACCGGGGATGGCGGACAGCTGAGCGATCAGCTTCGGCAGGTCGACGCGCAGCAATGGCTCGCCACCCGTGATGCGGAGCTTGTTGACGCCAGCGTCGACGAAGATTGCCGCCAGGCGTGAGATCTCTTCGAAGGTGAGAATCTCGTCTTTGGGCAGAAACTCGTACGCTTCGCCGAAGATCTCGGCCGGCATGCAATATGGGCAGCGGAAATTGCATCGGTCGGTGACCGAAATACGGAGATCCCGAAGGGGGCGGCCAAACAGATCAGTGATCATGACTAGGGCGACAGCTTTGCTATTTGTCCCACAACGCCTGCAAGACGCTACGCGCTTTACGGGCGGCGTCGGCGCGGTGGCTGATGCGGTTCTTGATTTCCAAGGGTACCTGCGCGATGGTCTGCCGGAAGGTGGGAAGATGGAACACCGGGTCGTAACCGAAACCGTGCTCACCCTCTGGTTGAGATTGTATCATTCCGGCGATGGAGCCGACGACCGTTCCGATAACCGCGCCACCAGGTGCGGCGATCGCGGTAACACAGCGGAACCGGGCCACCCGGCGATCCCAAGGCACACCGTCGAGATTGTGCAGCAACAGGTCAACTCGGTCGGCGTCCGACCGGCAGGCATCGCCGCCGTAGCGGGCAGAATACACCCCGGGGTCGCCGCCGAGGAAAAATACCTCCAGGCCGGAGTCGTCCGAAATCGTGGGCAGGTTCGATAATCTGGCGTACTCGCCGGCCTTGAGGCGGGCGTTGGCTGCGAAGGTATCGCCAGTCTCCTCGACGTCCCCGGCTACTCCCGCTTCGTCCAGCGAGATCAATCGCACCGGCCAATCGGCGAGCAATTGCCGATACTCTCGCATCTTGCCGTGGTTACGGGTGGCGACGACAAGCACCGAGGCCGACACCATCAGACTACACCTTCGGTGGCGAGGGATCTAAGGTCGTCTTCGGACAGGCCCAGCCATTCACCGTAGACCGCTGAGTTGTGCTCTCCCACCGAGGGCCCCATGTGGCGCAGCTCTCCGGGGGTCTCGCTAAACTTCGGGACAAGTCCGAGCATCCGGGTGTTCCCCAGCTCAGGATCGGCGATTTCGACGATGTCTTCGCGCTCCTGGAAGTGGGGATCAGCCACGATGTCGGCGCTGTTGTAAACCGGCCCGACCACGCCACCGGCCGGGATCAGTTCGTCCATGATGGCGTCGATGTCGCGTGAACCGAGCCAACCCTGCAGCACCTCATTCAGCGCGTCCTTGGACTCGAGGCGCGCGGCGTTGTTGGCGAAGCGCGGGTCGGACAGCAGCTCGTCAAGCCCCATAGCGCGGGCCAGTCCTTCCCAGGTGTTTTGCGAAGTGGCGGAAAGGCCGAGCCAGCGATCGTCGCCGGTGCGATAGAGGCTGCGCGGAGCCGCATCCGGAAAGTCGTTACCAATGCGCTCTCGGATTTCGCCGAGCCGGTCGTAGATGGTGAGGTGGGGAATACAGAGGCGGAAGAGCGGTTCAAAGAGGCTGAGGTCGACCACCTGGCCGGCCCCGGGACGACCGTCGCGCGTGTCGGCGTCACGGCGATAAATCGCCATCATGCCGGACATGGCGCCAAAGACCCCCGCGATCTCGTCGGCCAATGGGACTGGAGGAAGATTTGGTGGCGTGTCCGGGAAACCGGTCATGCCGATGTAACCGCTCATGCACTCGGCAATGGTGCCGAAACCGGGCCGGTCCCGATACGGACCGGTCTGCCCGAACCCGGAGAAGCGCAGGATCACGAGGCCGGGGTTCACGTCGGCGGCGTGCAGGTCGGCCGGCCCCAAGTTCCAGCGTTCCAGGGTTCCGGGTCGGAATCCCTCGATCAGGACATCGGCCTGGGAGGCCAATTGTTTGAGCAGCGACTGGCCTTTGGGGTCGGCCATGTTCAGGGTGATGGACTGCTTGTTGCGGGAATGTACCTTCCACCACAGCGACACGCCGTTGTAAAACGGGCCCCAATTGCGCAGCGGGTCACCCGACCCTGGTCGCTCGATCTTGATAACATCGGCGCCGAAATCGGCCATCAAAGATGAGGCGGTGCCGCCGGCCACGATGATCGACAGATCCAGGACGCGGAGACCGGCCAACGGGCCGGATTTTGCATTTGAAGAGGTCAAGTAACTTATCCTATTGGGCAGATGCCGGGAGTCTGAACCTTGGCGGTGCGATAGTCATTGGCCATGTCAATCGCCAAGCCAACCTTGAATTGCGCCGAGCACATCGCTGGGATATTCCATGGGCAGGAAGTGCGTGCCCTTACCCATGGGTTTGACATCAGACCGGGGAACCAATTCGCGGAACCGCCTGACGCCAGGGTCGTCGGGCCGCTGAGACCCGGGATAGTCGCCCAGGAGCAGCAGCCAATCTCCGGATAGCCCGCTCAGATAGGGCTCCACGGCAAGATCGTCACGCATCCCGTAGAAGGTGGCCTCGGTTTCCGGGTGACACTTGAGCTCGGCGCGACCGTCAGGAAGCAGCCGGGTACCACCATCAATAAACTGGCGATAGGGCTCGTCCTCCCAGTCTTTGAAGGCGGCGCGAGTGCGGTAGGCATCGAACATGGCCTCGCGGGATTCCCAGATGGCACGCTTCATCCGAGTGCGTTCGGCGCGCCGGCTCAAGTCCTGGCTGGGCGCAGAAGAGGCGTCGTTGCTGACCCTGGTCTCCACCAGCACGACGCGGCCGAACCTGTCGGGCAATATGGTGGAAGCGATGACGGCGGCCAAACCACCGGAGGAATGGCCGATGACGCGTGGCGATTCGAGGTCCATCGTATCGACGATGGCAGCCAGATCTTCCCCGGCATACTCGAACCGGTAACCCTTGTCAGACCGGTCGGTGTCGCCGTGCCCGCGCTGGTCGAAGGCCAGAACCCGGTAGTTACCGGCCAGCCGGCGGGCGATGGGTTTCCACGGCCAGGCGCATAGACCGGTGGCGTGAAGCATCAGCAGCGGTGGGTTGGACGGATCGCCCCATTCCAGATAATGGTGGCGAATTCCGTTGGCGGATACGCAGTGGCTGGTCCAATCGTGGGTTGGCGAAGCGTCGGGCATCGGATGGCCTTCGGTTGGGTTTATCGGAGTAGCCATTATGCTATAATGCCGCCGCCCAATTATCCATACCATTCGGTACGCCGATCAGAGAAACCGCTGCTATGCTCGAAGACTACTTTGGCCAGTATGGACTGATCGCCATCTTTTTGGTCATATCCATCGTTGTGCCCTGTAGCATGTTGCTCGCTTCGCACGGGCTCTCCCGATTTGGGATACGGCCAGCGCGTCCGAACGCGGTCAAGCACGACACCTACGAGTGCGGCGTGCAGACCATCGGCGGGACGTGGAACAGGTTCCAATTCCGGTATTACATGTTCGCCATCCTCTTCGTGATATTCGACGTTGAGGTGGTATTTCTCTACCCATGGGCAACCAAGTTCCTGACCCTGGAACTGTTTGCGCTGATAGAAATGGCGGTGTTCGTCGGGATCCTGCTGCTGGCCTGGGCCTACGCCTGGCGGAAGCGGGATCTGGAATGGCAGGGGTAAACAGAATGGCAGAACCGACCAATTTCACCTTGCCGTCGTCCGGCGGGCCACTGCACAGCAGGACCTGGGACATCGACCGCTCGGAAGGTCAACTGGTGAACGAACTGATCGCCGCGTCGCAAACGCCGATCGAGGTTCCCGCCATCGAGGTACCGGACGACCTGCAGCGAAACCTGATGGTCACGTCGGTGGACGCGCTGGTGAACTGGAGCCGCAAGTCAGCGCTTTGGCCGGTGTCTTTTGGACTGGCGTGCTGCGCCTTCGAGATGATGGCGACTGCCATGGGCCGGTTCGACATATCGCGGTTCGGCATGGAAGTTTTCCGTGCCTCCCCGCGGCAGGCCGACCTGATGATCGTGGCGGGAACCGTCACCTGGAAGATGGCGCCACCCATCCAGCGAATTTACGAGCAGATGGCCGAACCCCGCTGGGTCATCGCGATGGGAGTATGCGCAACCAGCGGCGGGCCGTACTTCGGATCGTACAGCGTGGTGCCGGGAGTGGACCACATCATTCCGGTGGACGTGTACGTGCCAGGATGCCCTCCCCGCCCCGACGCGTTGCTCTACGGGATCATGGAACTGCACGAGAAGATCAAGAAGTACCGCAACCTGGGCAACGGGAGCTTCAAGCCGTGACGCTGAGCATCGTGTCCGGCGAGACCTTGGCGCAGCGCCTGCAGGACGCAGTGCCGAACTCCGTAGTTGGATGGGACGACGCGGCAGTTTGGGTGGAGCCGAGTTCGCTCGGGTCGGTCGCGAGCGTCCTTCACGACGACGCAGAGATCGATTTCAAGTATCTCAACTCCGTCAGCGCGATCGATTTCGTTGAGCACTTTGAGTTGGTGTACCACCTCACCTCAATCGCGAAGCGGCAAACCGGTGTGGTGCGCAGCCGGGTTTACGGCCGCGAAGAGCCAACGGCGGCCTCGGTGGTGGGAGTGTGGAAAGGCGCCGATTTCCAGGAGCGGGAGATCTGGGACCTGATGGGCGTCCGCTTTACGGGTCATCCCAACATGAAACGCATCATGCTGTGGGAAGGTTTCGAAGGTCATCCGCTGCGAAAGGACTTCCTGTAGATCCCTCTGCCCGAGGATCCTGGACCGTAAACCATGACGATTCGCACCGAGCCAATGACGGTCAACGTGGGGCCGCAGCACCCCAGCACGCACGGGGTGTTCCGGGTTCGCATCACCTTTGACGGAGAAGATATCGTCGAGGTCGAGCCGGTGCTGGGGTACCTGCACCGGGGCAGCGAAAAGTTGGCCGAGGAGCGCAACTACGTGCAGGTGGTGACCCTCACCGACCGCCTGGACTACACGTCGTCGATGATTAACAACCAGGCGTATTGCCTGGCCGTGGAACAGCTGTTGGGCATCGAGCCGCCAACCCGTGGGAAGTACCTGCGGACGCTGACTGCCGAATTGCAGCGCATCGCCAGCCACCTGATCGCAGTGGGGTTCTTCGTGCAGGAACTGGGGGCGTTCGGGACGCCGCTGATGTACACGTTCCGCAGCCGGGAGAGGATCCTGGACCTTTTCGAGATGTTGTGCGGCGCGCGGATCACGGTGAGCTACATGCGGCCGGGAGGTGTGTTCGCCGACACTCCGCCGGATTTCTGGCCGGCCCTGGACCAGTTCCTCGCCGATTTCGAGGGGGAATTGGAAGAACTCGAAAACCTCCTGCTTGGCAACGAAATTCTGATGGTACG